ATCCAATGATTTCGAAAGAATTGAATGAGGCGCTGTATGAGGTGAAAATCTCATGTATAGTTCTGTAGACAAATTAATTTGGGAACATAATCATAGAGGTGAGTATACGGTTAAGTGTGGCTATTTGCAGGCTTTGGGGCTCCCAAATTGTAGTAGTAATTCCCATTCATCAACCCTTAACCCCTTGTGGAAATGGCTTTGGCATCTCAAGATCCCACCAAAATGGTCAATGCTTTTGTGGAAATATTTTCACAATATCCTTCCAGTTAAATGGAATTTTTGGAAAAGGGAGATTAATATAGATGGGAGGTGTGCGCATTGTGGCTAGGGTGAAGAAACTTTAGAACATTTGTTTTTTGAATGCCCTGATGGTCAAAGCATTTGGAGGGTTCTTCCCTATGTCTAGATTTTACTTGCGGTAGACTAATGAGGTTTGTATCTTGGCTTGAATTTTGGATTAGTGCTGTGCAAGATGAGGAGGCTATACTACAATTAATTGCCTTGTTGTGGGCTATATGGAGACATCGAAACTGTGCCTCCTTTGATTCTAGCAAAATGACCATAGCACAAGGATTCAAATTAGATAAATTAAACCACACTGACAGCAAATGGAAACTTACGTGATTATCCTTTTTGTGAACTAATTAATTATGTTACCAATGATGAGCACTTGCAGGTCTGGGTGGTGCTGGTGGATGGTTCATGGAATACGCAAAGTGGTTCTGTTGGAAGTGCTTGGGTGTGCTATGATGAAGATCAAAACCAAATTGGGCAAGGCTCAAGTCAGTGTCATTTGCCCTCTCCATTCGTAGCTATAACTAAAGCCTATTTGGAAGCTCATTTGTGGGCAAGAGGCAAATATGGAAATTGCATCTCCGTCTTCCTCGATTGTCAACCTCTGGTGACTGTTTTGCAAGGCACTACTGAAGCGGAGTGGTCTGCACTATGTTTAATTTCAGATATCCGAAGTATGGCTTGTTAGCTGTTATCTATTGCTATTATACTTAGGATTCTTGTATTCTTATACACCTAGGTTTCTTGGTCTATATATATAGGCTTCTCCTATTGTTTTGATTAATTGATTATATACAATACATATTATTTTCTCTCTCTACTATTCTAACATGGTATTAAAGTCTAGAATTCTCTCCTAGCCTCTTTTTCTTCTACTTCATCACGCGTTTTTTTTCTCTCTTTTTCTAGCAGATTGTTTTTGTCCCCCGTTGGTTTTTGTGTATCTAGTCTATCACTATTTCCACGTTTGGTCTATACTAGCCTCTTCGTCTCTTCAAGACAAAGCCAATGCCACTAGAATCACCTCCATCGGATGCCTCATGCGGTCTCATGCGTCCCCAAACACTCAGCACGTCAGTTTCTGTTATTGTCACTTTCAGCATGCGCATGTGCGCGCCGTCTCGGCTCCATTCTCAGCTAATTAGCTCTTGGCTTCCACTCTGCTTCCGCCTTAACCATGTGCAGCCATCGACTTCCTCCTTAACTGCTGAGCCATCAGCTTCTGTCTGGCTTTCCTTAGCCACGTGCTGCCCATGGACTTCTGTCTGGCTTTCCTTAGTCATGTGCCGCTGCAATCAGCTTCCTTAGCTGTGTGTTGCCTTAGCCGCTAACGTCAGCCTTACTTAACCACTGATGTCAGCCCTACTCCCCAGACTCAACTGCTGATGTCATCACAGCCATAGTGTTGACGTCAGCCCTACATGTTCCCAAGGTTTTTCAGCCTTCTGAATCTATTGGTGACTTCCGTTTTAGCAAATTCTACCTATCTTCTCTTGTTTTCTCCTTATGGATCGTACCAAGCACATCCACTCTATTTCTGTTATACTTGATGGGTCAAATTACATTAGTTGGGCCCAAGCTCTCTCTAGCTTCATCAAAGGGAAACGACTTTGGCGGATCATTACTGGTGCTCTTCCCAAACCTAACCAAAAGGAGGATGGGACTGACTCTGCATTCGATGACCTTCTTGACGAATGGAAAAGTAAGAATTATCAAATTATCACATGGTTCTGGGCTACCTCAGTTCCCTCTATTCGTCTCTAGTTTGGCCAGTTCCAAGATGATGATCAAATTGCTTCCCCTGTCAAAGCAATTTGTGATTTCTTGAGGGACCGTTATCAGACCACTGGCCATGCCCATCAATATCAACTGTTACAGACTCTTTATCATATATGTCAGGCACCCGGTCAGTTTATCAATGAATTCTTATCCCAGATGTTGTCTGTTTGGGACCAACTAGCTCTTTCTGAGCCTACATGGGCATATTCTGAGGATGTATAGCTGTTTATTACTTATCGGAATCATTAGCGCCTATTACAGTTCCTTATGGCTCTTCATAGCACTTTTGAGCTCGTGCGTGGTTCATTGCTCCATTGTTTGCCCTTGCCTACTTTAGAGTAAGCCATTACTGAACTATTATCAGAGGAGACTCATTTTAGGACTCTCAAATCTCAGAATATGGATTCTGTTCTTGCTACGCCATCATCACAGAGTTCCTTATCTTCACAGCCAGCTAATTCATGCCAATATTGTCACAACCGTGGCTTGCCAGCCACTCATTCTTTTGTGCAGTGCCAGGTTCGCGAATGCTTTACTTGCTACAAGACTGCTCCCGGTCATCTCCAATACAATTGTCCTTGAGCCCCCTCAAATACTTCATTTAGGAAAGGGTTTTCTCGTTCTGGGTATCAGTCCAAATCTGGCTAAGGTTCTTGCTCTGGTGCTGTTGCCTCTAAGGGTTCTTCTACTCACCACTCCACTGATTCCACTACTCCTTCCTTCTCTATGGAAGATATTGAGTCCATCATCCAACAGGTGCTTGCCAAATTTGGTACTCCTCCCTCTACTGCTCTTTCAGTGACTTTAGGTAATTCTCCATGGTATTTTGATTCCGCATGTTGTAATCATATGACTTCTGACTCTACTATGTTTTCTTCTATATCATCATCATCTTCTATCCCTATCATACACATTGCTGATGGTTCTCATATGAATGTTCGTCACATTGGTCAAATTTCTACTTCCACTGTGTCTCTTTCTGATGCTTATCACATTCCTACTCTTCAATTGAACCTTATCTCTATTGAGTTATCTGAACTTGGTCTAACTGTTACCTTTTCTGCTAATGGTTGTACAGTGTAGGACCCTCAGACGAGACAGATCCTTGGGACAGGCCGTAAGCATAAACGTCTGCTCAAGCTTACCCATCTTTGCATTCTCCACAAATCATCTACTGTTGCTCCGCACACATCATCTACTGCTGCTCCCATTACTTCCTCTACTGCATCTACTTCTGCCATGTCTTTTTTTCACCTTTGGCATTGTTTCTTAAAACATGTCTTTTTTAGTTGTTTGAAAACTTTAGTTTTTGGTGGTCAGTTAGGTCGTGTCCATCTTGAAGATGTCGATTATTTATCTTGTCAAATTGCTAAACAACCTGCATTATCTTTTAATAATAGTACTTTTATGTCTATTGCTCCTTTTGATCTTGTGCGTTCAGATATTTGGGGACCTTCCTCCACACCGACCATGGGAGGGTTAAGATATTTTGTGATTTTTCTCGTTATACTTGGTTTTTTCTTCTCAAAAATCAATCTGAACTTAAACAGATTTATTATGATTTCTCTGTCATAGTCCACACTTGGTTTTCTCATACTATTAAAATCTTTCATTCTGATAATGCTAAAGAGTACTTGGATTCTGAATTTCTTTATTTTCTTCAAGCTAATGGTACACTAACTCATCGATCTTGTGCAAGCATGTCCCAACAAAATGGACGAGCCGAAAGGAAGCACCATCATATTCTAGACACTACTCGGGCTCTTCTCATATCATCTTCTTCTCCTGAACAGTTTTGGGGAGAAGCAGCCCCCATTGCCATCCACACCATAAATCGTGTACCTACACCTGTCATAGCTAATACTTCCCCTTGTAAGCGCTTGTATGGTTCTTCTCCTGACTACACCACTCTTAAAGTTTTTGTTTCTGCTTGTTTTGTTCTACTTTAGTTTCATGAACACAATAAACTAGAACCTCGCTCTCGTCTTTGCTGTTTTCTGGGGTATGGTATAAAACATAAAGGGTATCATTGTAGGGATCCTATCTGCAAGCGACTTCATATTTCCCGTCATGTGGTCTTCTGGGAACATAAAATGTTCTCAAATCTTTCCAAGTTTCACCTACCACAGTCCATCCACTCACTGATCTTTAATGATCTCTCTATAGACCTGCTTTCTGATGACTTTGATGCAAATTATGACTCCATGATTCCACAGCCGCCTACGCTTATTGTCCATCCTGAGGATCCTGTGTCTGCTGATGGCCCTACACCTTCTCCTGTTGAGGTTCCTCCTCTACTAGAGCATTATTCTACACAGGTAAGGCAACCTTCTATTCTTCTCCATAATTATATTGTTGGTTCCACTGCCTTTTCTTCTCTTGAACCTACTTCCTATCAAGAAGCTTGTTCTAACCCTCTTTGGTAACAAGCTATGATTGATGAACTGCAGGCCTTTGATAAAACTCATACCTAGGATGTGGTTGATCTTCTTCTTGGCAAGAGTACTGTTAGTTGCAAATGGGTTTACAAGATCAAAACTCATTCTGACGATTTCATTGAGCATTACAAAGCTTGTCTTGTCGTCCAAGGGTGTACTTAAGAGTATGGCATTGACTACGAAGAAACATTTGCTCCTATTGCTCGTCTTACTTCCATTCGTTACTTACTTGCAGTGGCTGCTACTCGCCACTGGAGTCTTTATCAGATGGATGTCAAGAATGTATTCTTCAAAGGTGAACTCACCGAGGAAGTTTATATACAACCTCCTTCTAGTTTTTCTGTTCTATCAAACAAAGTCTACAAACTTCGTCGTGTTTTGTATGGTTTGAAACAAGCTCCGTATGCCTAGTTTGCCAAGTTCAGTTCTACCATTCGTGACTTTGGCTTTTCCTCTAGTGTCCATGATTCTGTCTCGTTTATATGTAAGATGGAGTGTGGTACTATTCCCCTTCTCCTCTATGTGGATGATATGATTATCATTGGAGATGACCCCGTGGGTATTTCTAGTCTCCAACAGTTTCTCCGTCACCAGTTTGAGATGAAAGATTTGGGTTTGCCTAGCTACTTCCTTGGCATGGAAATTTCTCAAGATTCATCTGGTTACTTTCTTACCCAGGCCAATTATAGTTCTGATCTCTTAGCTTGTGCTGGCCTTACTGATTGCAATACTGCCACTACTCCGTTGATCTTTAGACTCGTCTTACACCTCTTGAAGGTTTTCTATTTTTTGATGCCACTCTATATTGTCAGCTAGTTGGCAATCTTGTCTGTCTCACGGTTACTCATCCAGATATTACTTATGCTGTTCACATTGTCGGTCAATTCATGACTGCCTCCCACTCTCCACACTATGATACTCTGATTCGCATTTTACACTATCTTAAAGGAACTCTGTTTCGTGGTCTTCACTACTTCACCTAGTATTCTCTACAGCTCAATGCCTTTTCTGATGCAGATTGGGCAGGGGATCCTACTGACCGTCGTTCCACTACTAGGTTCTGCTTCTTCTTGGGCACCTCTCTCATTGCTTAGCGTAGCAAGAAACAAACTCTTGTTACTCGTTCTAGTACCGAGGTTGAGTATCGTGCTCTTACTAAGACTACTTAGGAGCTTGTGTGGCTTCGTTAACTTCTTTCTGATATAGGAGTTTCTCATTCTATTGCCACCAATCTTTATTGTGACAACCAGAGTGCTATTCAGATTGCATATAACGATGTCTTCCATGATCGCACCAAGTATATTGAGATAGATTGCCACTTCATACGCCAGCATGTTACTAGGGGCATTGTTCGTCTTCTCTTTGTTACCTCTGCTGGCCAGACCGCCGACCTCTTCACCACAGCTTATTTTCCAGTATGCTTCTTTTTTCTCCTCGCCAAGCTTAAGTTGATATCTTCCTTACCACCTTGAGCTTGAGGGGGGTGTTAGCTGTTATATATTCCTATTATACTTAGATTCTTGTATTCTTATACATCTAGGTTTCTTGTACACCTAGGTTTTCTTGGCCTATATATACAGGCTTCTCTTATTGTATTGATTGATTGATTATATACAATACATATTATTTTCTCTCTCTGTACTATTCTAACATGGCTAAATATTTTAGGTTACTTATTATATATAAAGTTGATCGGTCTGTAATTTATCCTGCGCATAAACTAGCTCAGAATGTAAACAACTATGACTGTTATTGATCAATATATATCTGTCATGACCCGAACCCGCCCCTATGGATTAGGATCATAACTGGTTGGTAATTGTGAGATTATCTACTGCCACAGACAGAAATCAAGTCAAAGTTAATAATAAGGGGCCAAAAATACAGAAACATAACTTGTAAAGGTTGTCCAATGAGCTATGCATACATAGCATAGCAAAAAATTTTCTCATTTATGCTATAATTCACACCATACAACATTCAGAGTATATAGATACATATATCCAGGATCATTCTAAATCCAGTCTTAACAAAAACCAAGGTTATACACAAACTTAGTCACATATGACCACAAAAGAACAAAAGGAAAAACAAAACAAAAGTAAGGCCTCTTGCATAAAGCGACCTTAGTTAACTTTCAAAAATTGGGTGCTCCTACATACTTTCACTAAGGCTGGGGTGGGACATCCCTTTGCTCACCTACATACATATAAATAAAGAACAAGTTAACGCCCAGTGAATAATATCATAGTAAAGGAGTTCATGAATGAGATTCATTAAATGAAAATCTATGTATCATATCTATATACAAAACGACCTTGGGTCCAATTCATATGTACAAAATGACCTTGGGTCCATTACGTGCAAAACAACCTTGGGTCCAATTCATATACAAAACAACTTTTGGTCTATTATATGCAAAACGACCTTAGGTCTAACATTTCATATTCACAATCGTGCGCACATTCGGATCCATGATCATGTTCACACTCATATTCGTATTCAAAACGACCTTAGGTTCAATCAATCTCTTATTCAAAACGACCTTTGTTCTGTTTAACAGTCATACAAAACGGCCGCAGGCCCAATCCGTATCCTTGTCAATAATCGAATGACCTTGGGCTCATTTCATATTCATACATCAATCACTTTGCATATTTCATTACGAATCAAACGGATGGAATACTCATTCATAGTCCCAATTCAGAAGTTTAGAAACTTACCACATAGGTAACAGTTAGAAAATAATGCATACACAAAAATATCTTTACTAAGATATTACTCATAATGTTCCGGTGCTTGATTCGTCCTTGCACTTGACCCTACATAATTCACAACACATTGGGTCATAATACAATTCAATCCATTTTTTCATTTGCTTAATTCTCTCAGGCTTCTTTTGTATCCTTAATTCATTCAGGATGCTCTAATGTGTGCCTAAGAATGCTCAGAAATGAAAGAGAACAACAATTGGAACATAAAATAACTTTTTAAAAGTTTCTAAAACAGGGCACTCTACTCGAGCGCAACTTTGGTGACTCGAGTGGTCTACAAAACTCTGCAAAAGTACTGGTTGCTTGAATTTTAGGCTCGAGCGCAAGAACTGGTCACTCGAGCCAAGAGTAGTTCAAAACAAGGTTCGCTCAAGCGTAACTTTTGCCGCTCGAGCCTTCGTGCAATTGTTTGTAAAACTTCTGGGAGCTAAATTTTTATGCTCGAGCATCACTTCTTACGCTTGAACAAACTAGTCAAATTCTAGAATTTCCAGAACTGTGATTGAAGTTCAAAACATGTTTCCAAAGGCTCAAAGCTTTCAAGTTGATACAAAAAACATGGAAAAAATTTGTATAACATGAAAACACTTTCAATTTGAAACCAACTACTCGAAATCATGGACCAAATTCCAAAATCAAGCTTAAATCATGAGGTTGAAACCATGCATGATGTGAATTGCACTATTTTCTTTTCAAATCTTTTCAAAACCCTCATGCATGAGATGAAAAGCAGTGAAACTATGAAACATCTTCAAAAATGTCAAATGCAGTTTCATGCGTGTGAAAAACTCCATGAAATTCAATCTCAAATTGGTGATTCATGCATGCATGTACATAATTTAACTCAATTCTTCCAATTCAAAGTGATTCATCCTTCCATTGTACAATTACATGCAAATGAACTCAAGAACTAGATGAATTCAACTTTTACATGTTTTATTTACAAGGATTCAGGTTGAAAATCATACCTAGGGCTTGAATCCAAGTGTATTCTAGTTCAATTCTTCAAATCTCCTCAATTCCTTCACAATTCTCTTCCTTCTCTCTCTCTCTCTAAGTGTTGAGTTTACTCTCCTTAGAGTGTATATTTCAAAAATTTTGAGCTCACCTCATGAGCTTAAGCACATTAGAACATATTTATATGTTGGCCTAATCAAAATTGCTAATGAAGGTTTAGAGCTAATTGATTAGGCATAATTTAATTGGTTTAATCTAATTATTTTGATCCGAATCAAAATTTAATCAAAATTTACCGTAGGCTCTAAAAATTGTGCTAATTGCAATGGTATGATCAATTTTGGTTTTTGTTGCCTCTACAGCCTTCAATTTCAATTTATGCTAGAATACAGAACAAGTTTTCCTACGGTGGATAGATGTGAATTCAAAACTACACATAATCACATAATTAGCATTCAATTTCACATTAAGCACATAATCACAAACATAATTACGGATTATCAATATAACATAGAATAGGGTTATCACAGTATCTGCATGTGTTGTTTTGCTTAAAAAAAAAAATTGTCCTAATAACAATACTATGCCCTTATCTTCTTCTACACTGACGCTAATTTTAAAACACCACAACCATTCTTTATCGCTAGTGCCACCTCTCTTCTCTTCCATCCCCCTCTCGCCACCTTTTTCCCTCTCTGCTTGTGACCACTTTCCCCCATGAGCCATACACTCACACAAGCCTTCGCTATGAATCACCTACTTTCAAGGTTTACTGTAGAGGTCTAGAATGGCAGGAGGTGAGCTGGGAGTGGTGGCGGCGGCGGCGGCGATGGAGAGTTGAAAGTGGTGGCAACAACAACAAATGAAGAGTGGGCGAATGGAAGAAACATTAGACTTTTTTTTTTTTTGTTTAGTTTGGTTTTAGAACATGTTTTCCAAAAAAAAAAAAAAAAAAAAAAATTAAAAAAAAAAAAAAAAAATAAAAAATAAAATATAAATAAAATAAAAAAAATATAGAAATAATAAAAAAAAAAATAAAAAAAAAAAAAATAAAAAAAAAATAAAAAAAAAAAAAAATATAAAAAAAATTAAAATATAAAATTAATATAAAAAAAAAAATAAAAAAAAAAAAAAAAATTATACAAAAAAATTATATTGAATTTTTCATTTTGTTGTTGTTTGATTTTTGGATTTAATGGTATTTTTTAAATATTTTTTCACAAAGTATTATACTTTTTAGTGTTTATTTATGTTAGTGTGTCTAAAAAAATTTGAAAAAAATAGCTAAAATATTAATAAAATCATTCCAAAACATTAAATACGAAAAATAAAAAGTATAATTTTCTGAAAGCTGGAAACAACAAGACTGAATGTTGATTGTAACTAGTGTATCATGGACAATATAAAAAAAAATATGAGCTATAAGCCTTAAAATAATTATATAATGATAAATATTTTGAACAAAATTGATTAAAAATTCAATAATAGGAATACCACGTCATCATTGGTATTGATATCACCATTAATTATGCAAATGTAACAAACATTCCCAATAATTTCATATCTTTATAGTAAGATTATTTATTTTACATATCACTAATAATGATATCGCGTTACATTCAAAATTTCATAATTAATATGTTTTTTTTAATATTATCTCTATTTCAATTAAAATAACTATTATGTTTTATAATTTTAAAATTCATTGATATTATCACTCTAACAATATTTCGTATAATTTTTTATTTAAAATATTTCTTTTATTTATAAAAAATATATATATTTCCCAAAATCAAAGGGGCACGTGACCAATGGTCTTCATGCGCCCTTTTCCGCCGACTGCATGTAGCATAAATCATCTTTTTTGGTAACTAAAGAAAAATGGATGAAAAAGTACAATGAATTCATTAAATCTTTCTCTATCGCTGAAATGTCCAATCTCATCCGGTAACCCCGATGAATGGACATGGATCATTGTACTTTGGTTGTCCATATAAAAAATCGAACAATACATACTAGAAGAGAGATGAGGTTAGGATGAGGTTGGACATCATGTGAGGTGTTGTTGAGTGGTAGACCCCGATGTCTCAAATTCAACTCTTTTATAGAGTTAGCTATCAAATCACATTACATATAATTGTGATAAATCTTTAAAATTAGACGAAATTGTACTCAAGGTTAAAAATGTTGAGTGAATTCTTATCGTATTATGTAAATTTATGACTTATCGCTACATGATTAAAATACTTATT